GAAATAATGGTATCCTTCGACGTGACAGCATTATATACCTCTATCGGACAAAAACTAGCAAAAGAAACCATGGAGCAATTACTTAGCAACGACGAACAACTTCCACAACAATCAAAAATGCAACACACAAGCTGGATGGAATGCATAAATCTATGCCTAACAACATACTTCCAATTCAACGGCCAAATATATGAACAAGTCAAAGGAACACCCATGGGATCGCCAATATCAGGTTTGATTGCAGAAGCAGTGATGCAAAGACTCGAAAACATAATTCTACCAAAGATCAAACCCAAGATTTGGATACGCTACGTCGACGACACATTTGTAATAATCAAAAGAAACGAATTAGACAAAACTCACAACTTAATAAACAACGTCTTCAACGACATCAAATTCACAAGAGAAGAGGAATCCGAGAACAAAATACCATTTTTGGACGTCTTAGTCAGGCGAACAACTACAGGAGAATTAGAAACTCAAGTTTATAGGAAATCAACTCACACAGACCAAATACTGAATTACAACAGCAACAACCCAATAGCACACAAAAGGAACTGCATACAAACACTATTCAAGAGAGCAAGGACTCACTGCAGCACTCCCACCTTAAGAAAAATTGAAGAAAAGTATCTCATGGACGTCTTCCAAAAGAATGGATATCCCGGAATTTCATCAAGAAACATATACCCCCAAGCCAACCTACCAAAACAAAAGCCACCAAGGAAAACACAAAGAAAATCGCCTTACCATATATAAAGGATATCTCAGAAATCACTAAAAGACTCTTCAAACCTTTAGGAATTGACGTCGTACACAAACCAACAAAGTCGCTGCACTCAATTCTATGTCAACCAAAAGACTCAACAGCAAAAGAAGACAAAACCAACATCATCTACAAAATAAACTGTAACAACTGTGAAAAACACTACATTGGCCAAAGTGGACGTCCCCTTCGTCTTCGTATCCACGAACATAAGCTAGCCGTCAAAAGACATGATATACACTCCCTCATTTCACTACACACAGACAACCACGGACATCAATTCGACTGGGACAACGTTCAAATATTAGACAAAGGAAACAACAAGAATGCTAGAGAATTTTTAGAAGCTTGGCATTCCAGTGAATCATCAATCAATAGACACATCGAGATAGACAAAATTTATCAACCAATAAGAAAGAAACTTCACACACGATTGGCCAAAGTTCAAGTCACAGAAACAATCAGTTCCAACACAAGTAACCTAGAAGGTGTGAAAACATACATAAACAACCAATCACGTTCAAGGTCACCAGGAGGAATGATTAATAAACTCGTGGAGAAACCTAAAAGCTCACTTCAATTTGAAGTATGCGCTGAAGATGTCACCCAGTAAGGTGATGAAAGCTTCGCAAACTAACTATCCAGCTCAGAGAACAAAACCACATCAAAATTATCCACCTGAGCTACAAATCTTCTCTATCATATCTAAATCTTACGAGCGGGATACGCTTCTCTCTGTTCGAAAGTGGGAAGACTTCGCCAAAAGGCAAGGATCCACCAGAGAACAATTATTCTTTCTCCATGAGTGCCTTCGTCATTCAATCCTACCAAACAGTGTAAGATACAAGCCACCAGTCAACTGCCCAATGGGATGGAAATTGGCCGAACAATGTGGAAGACGAATGGTCAAATTAATGATTACGGACGCACATTATCGGATCAACAAATACCAACAAATAATAGATGTCCAAAAAGCAAAATTAGAGAAAACCCTCAACCAAGAACACCTGTCAACGCTGATCACCGCAATTTCACTGTCAAGTGGAAAACACAGAGAACAAAGACGAAGAGTCCTCAAAACCAAGCTAGCCAAGATTAGAAAACAACAACCAGACAATACGCCCATAGACTGCGTAGTCAACCTATCAAAACAACCACTATCAAAAATGGAACAACAACTGCTACAAAAAGGATTAAACTACAACACCGGAGATGCTTCAAAAACTGATTTCTTCGCTGCCCTTGAATCATTACTCAAATCATCAAACTTGAACGAGGAAACACAGGAAGAAATACGCCAAACAATTGTACCAATGGTCAAACAGAAAAGACAACACACACAACTCAACTCTCAAGAACTAAAGGCCCTCAAAAAGCTGAAAAATAGGAAGGACATCGTCATTTTACCAGCCGACAAAGGAAGAACAACAGTAGTCATGGACAGAGAAGAATACACCAAGAAAGCTGAAGAACTACTCAAAGATGAAGATGTATATCAAGAACTCCCAACAAATCCCATACAAACATTGGACAACCGCATCCAAAGGACCTTAAACAAGCTCAGCAAAACTGGACAGATCACAAAACAAGACCAATGGCGAATGAAATCCAATGGACCAGTCCTACCTCGATTCTACGGCAGACCCAAAATACACAAGGCAAATATCCCGTTACGACCAATTGTATCACTCCCAGGAACTCCAACATATAATTTGTCCAAGGAATTATACAGAAAACTAAAACACCTAACGGAATCCTGTGATCACTCCATCAACTCTGCTATCCAATTCCTAGAGAAAATCAGAGACATCCAAATAGATGAACAAGAAATAATGGTATCCTTCGACGTGACAGCATTATATACCTCTATCGGACAAAAACTAGCAAAAGAAACCATGGAGCAATTACTTAGCAACGACGAACAACTTCCACAACAATCAAAAATGCAACACACAAGCTGGATGGAATGCATAAATCTATGCCTAACAACATACTTCCAATTCAACGGCCAAATATATGAACAAGTCAAAGGAACACCCATGGGATCGCCAATATCAGGTTTGATTGCAGAAGCAGTGATGCAAAGACTCGAAAACATAATTCTACCAAAGATCAAACCCAAGATTTGGATACGCTACGTCGACGACACATTTGTAATAATCAAAAGAAACGAATTAGACAAAACTCACAACTTAATAAACAACGTCTTCAACGACATCAAATTCACAAGAGAAGAGGAATCCGAGAACAAAATACCATTTTTGGACGTCTTAGTCAGGCGAACAACTACAGGAGAATTAGAAACTCAAGTTTATAGGAAATCAACTCACACAGACCAAATACTGAATTACAACAGCAACAACCCAATAGCACACAAAAGGAACTGCATACAAACACTATTCAAGAGAGCAAGGACTCACTGCAGCACTCCCACCTTAAGAAAAATTGAAGAAAAGTATCTCATGGACGTCTTCCAAAAGAATGGATATCCCCGGAATTTCATCAAGAAACATATACCCCCAAGCCAACCTACCAAAACAAAAGCCACCAAGGAAAACACAAAGAAAATCGCCTTACCATATATAAAGGATATCTCAGAAATCACTAAAAGACTCTTCAAACCTTTAGGAATTGACGTCGTACACAAACCAACAAAGTCGCTGCACTCAATTCTATGTCAACCAAAAGACTCAACAGCAAAAGAAGACAAAACCAACATCATCTACAAAATAAACTGTAACAACTGTGAAAAACACTACATTGGCCAAAGTGGACGTCCCCTTCGTCTTCGTATCCACGAACATAAGCTAGCCGTCAAAAGACATGATATACACTCCCTCATTTCACTACACACAGACAACCACGGACATCAATTCGACTGGGACAACGTTCAAATATTAGACAAAGGAAATAACAAGAATGCTAGAGAATTTTTAGAAGCTTGGCATTCCAGTGAATCATCAATCAATAGACACATCGAGATAGACAAAATTTATCAACCAATAAGAAAGAAACTTCACACACGATTGGCCAAAGTTCAAGTCACAGAAACAATCAGTTCCAACACAAGTAACCTAGAAGGTGTGAAAACATACATAAACAACCAATCACGTTCAAGGTCACCAGGAGGAATGATTAATAAACTCGTGGAGAAACCTAAAAGCTCACTTCAATTTGAAGTATGCGCTGAAGATGTCACCCAGTAAGGTGATGAAAGCTTCGCAAACTAACTATCCAGCTCAGAGAACAAAACCACATCAAAATTATCCACCTGAGCTACAAATCTTCTCTATCATATCTACACCTGTGTTTCTCATTCTCTAGCCGACGAATGATTGGGACGCAAACGAAGGATAAGCTTGATAGTTTTGCCACATCTATGTGCATTTATCCACTCGACTGCACCGCCGGTGACAGTTATGTTGGGGACACCACTACTAGACAGCCTAGTTGACGTGTTAGTGAATATCTCCCACCGTGGTTTGGCAGAGGACAGACGAAAACAATCCGTAGCTCAATTTTGTCACATTTAATTGATAGAGGTCATGTAGTGGAGCAAACGAGAGCCTTCAAAGTAATTCATCGTATCCCACTGAATCTTTCTAATAGACTTCGTATTCGTCTACTGCACACAGCTGAGGTGATAGGCATTCGAACTATTAAACCTAAACTATGCATTCAAAAGAAGTTCGTACAGCCATTATCCTTCCATTGTTGGCCTATTAAGACATAACCAACTAGAGACTTCTACACCACCCCTTATTTATATTTTCAACCCCTCCTCTCTGATCATCCCTTAATCTTATCACATCTTCATTAAAAACCTGTCTCAATTACTTCCCTTACAATCTAACATTACTTAATCGGTTCATTTGTTTTTACTAGCCTTTATCGACTACTTCCACCTGAATAACTGTTTGTTTAATCGTGATGTTTTTCATTATTCGTGTTATCACAGATTGCCTCACTTTTTCATCCTTATTATTAATAAAACCGTTATTATTATTACTATTATCATTACTACCATTATGACTGATTGCACAATTTATATGCACCATCGTATTATCCTACAGACAAAACACCATGATTGGTTTATATTTGAATTTTCGTTTGTAAAATTATATAAATTAGAGTTAAACCTGATGAGATCTAATTGGAAACAATATTGTTCGCTTAAATGTGTTGTTCTAATTACATTATATCATTTTATATTTATTTACAAAAAAAACTATACCTGGTGCTGGTAGTAATTGGAGATTCCAGTTTGTTGTTGAGGATGTAGTCCTTGTGGATGATGAATTAATGCAGTCGCATGAGGTGGTGGTGGTGCGGTGGAGGAGGGGCAATTGGCGCCTGTATTTGTACAGCAGTCAAAGCATGATTCGAAGGGATAGCAATACCCGTGGAAATAGTATTTCCTGAAGCAATTTGTGAAAACAAAGGATGCATACTACTAGAACCACCCCCAGCACCACCGCCTTGAGCATTAATTGTCGGTGAATTGTGCTGATGATGAATAGAGGCAGTAGGCGATGACACATACACACCAGTCACATTTGGTGGATTAGTTTCACTCTGAGCAGCAGCTGCTACAACCGCTGCCGCAGCGGCTGCTTGAGCAATTGAAAAGGGGACAGTCGACTGTGCAGCACTCGCAGCAGATGAGAAGCTACTATTCGATTGGGCAAGTTGAGATTTTTTATGCGCTTCAATAAATTTTGTCGCAGACTCTGCCATACGAGCTACAGCAGAAACACGTTTACTTGATTGTCGAAGTCGAGCATTTTGTTCCAACAGCATTTCATTAGCAGCTCTTAAATCTCCACGTTGACGCATTAAATCAAGAAGTTTACGCCGGAGACGAGCATTTTCAGCTCGTAGAGCATATTGTTGTTTTATTGACGCTGAAGCTAAATGAACGCTTGATGTCGACGAGTACACAGAACGCTTTCTTTTCGTTGAATACTTTGAAATACTGTGAGATGATGAACGCTTTAATGATGTTTGTGGGACAGAAAACACATACAACTCTTCTTCATCATCATAATCAGGATCTACAAAATCTGGATCATCGCCTTCATCACGTCCACTATAGCCTTCTTCGCTTAGAACTGATGTTGGTGAAACATTTGTTAAGGGTCTTCGAGTGTTTGTATGCAGGAAAGAACGATTAGCAGCAGTCGAAGTAGTAGTAATAGTATTAGTGTTACTGTTCGTGTTATTACTATTAGAAAGTCGAGATGCATAACGATGAGTAGATCGACGTAGTTTTCGTTTAACAAATGTTGAACCTCCAGATACAATGGAGCCTACAGGGAAGTAGTTATCTGTTGAAAGATATCTGTGATTACAATTTGATATTGTAAGGAAGACGCTTGATTTATAATCTTTTTGATAACCAGAGTGTAAAAAACGATTTAAAGCTGGATATGATTTTGATCGTACTTTAAGCACTTTAGGCTCAAATGATGCTTTAGATGGCAAAGCACTGGTTGAAAGTGATCGACGAATAGGATTCACATGGGAACTAGACAATGTACTGTTATTGTTTAAAAGGTCATCACGAGGATTGGTAGTCGTCGTCGTAGTAGTAGTAGTGGTATTGGTAGTTTCATTATTGGCATAATGTGGAGTATTGATTGATTGAACAGCATGACTACTACTGCCTTCAAAGCGATCAGTTTTACTACCAGTCGTTCGAGAGATAACAATTTTACGATTTGTTGGTCTCCATGGATCTGGACTAGTTTCACATGATGCTGGTCTACTATCCTCCACTCCACGCGAATAAGATAAGCCTAATAAACTATCTCGTTTACTTATTTTCGATGGTAGATTATAAGGTGGTGTGACTTCTGGTGATGGAGACATAAGAGCAGTTGATTCTACATCATCGTCTTCTTCATAAGTATCTCCATCATCATCTTCATAATCATCATCAACAGATCGTGGCAGACTTGTATGATGTCGATGCTGACGATGATGACGATGGTGGTGATGATGATGTAGACTGGAGTAATCATCATCAGGGTAATGACAATCGACTGTAGGCCTTCGTTTATTTTTATGCCGTTTTGTAGAAGAATAACGATTAGATTGACAAGTTAGTGAATACATTTGACTGTCTATTTCATAAGATGAAGGTGAAGCAAAGTCATTATGCGATGATGAGGAGGAACATGCTCGATGATAATCGCATTCAGTGTTCAAAAGACGAGAATTTCCTGGATTTGTTCGACGTACATCTTGCTTCTCTGATCTATTTGAATGACTGATCTGTTGTTATGAGAAAAAGTAGAAAAAAAAGATATAGGAGGGGGGAGGGGTGGGAAACAAAATTACATCCATAGTAATATGAATGACATTTCAATGTACTTGCTTATGTTCTAAAACAATGTGCAGATGCTTTATGTTCTCCACTTACTAACATGCTAAACGTTTCTATTTCCAAAAACGTTGTACCTGTTGCATAGTGGAAAGACATTAAAATAGTCCCTGTCCCTAAACCTGGCAATAGCAAGAGCGTAAAGTTCAGACCCATTGACCATCACATCCCTGTTTCTAAAGCTTATGGAAAAACTAGTACTTCTTGCACTCGAAAACTCCCTTAAAAGCTTTGAAGACCCCAAAAAAACAATTTGCCTATAGACAAGGTAGGAGAGCACTTTAGACGCTGCAACCGTCTTACACAACTGTATCGTCTCATTATTAGATAAAGGTGCCAAATACATTCGTTGCACGTTTCTTGACTTCACTTCTGCTTTTGACTCTGTACCTAGATGTCTTTTGCTAAATAAGCTCTCGATGAGGCAATCCGAGACCTGGGTTACAAACTGGTTCCATTCCTATTTCTCAAATAGAATGCAGTACACTGTATACAAAGGTAAATCCTCCTCTGCTGTGCTCACTGAAGCTGGTGTCCCCCAAGGTGCTGTAATCTCCCAACTTCTCTTTTCTTTCTTTCTACATGACTTAATATCTTCGAATGACATTAATTTTGTTAAATATGCTGATGACCTAACTGTATCTTTGCCTGTCAAATGTCAAAGTGACTGAACTAAACTAAACGGCTTTTTATCAGAAATCAGCAATGGTCCACGGAAAACGGTCTCACCTTAAACCCCTCCAAATGCTAAACAGTCCATTTCACCTTTAGGCATAAATCTGACCTAAACAAACTGGTTAGCACTCACGAGATGTGTAACATTGATGGCACTGAAATAGAAACCAAGTTAGAAATTAAATACCTAGGCATCACTCTATCTGCTGATCTTTCCTGGTCGACTCATATCTTGATGATGCACATTGTGCTTAAAGCAGTTGGTAAAGGCCAACTCTTTGATTGATTAAACTTAAAAAAGAAACTGATCACTAAAACTTTAGAAGAGGGCAGTCATCAGGAGCAGGAGATCTAAAGGCGATTGGCCTTCGGATATACTTGAAATTCCTATTCCGAAAAAAACATCATTCAATGCAGTAAAACTACAAATTGATCTATACCAGATAGAAAATCTCTTCCCCGTCTATATAAAAAATAACTCCTCTCGTCTGGCCGAAATATACCCCTGCTTTCATGAAGCAAGTAAGGTACAGAGGAGCCGTAGCTAGAGACTGTTTTGTACATGCATATGAAAGCATCTCTAACAAAGGTTAAATATAGTGAGCTGTAAGATGTTCTTTTCTGGAAAGTTTGATTGGGTTCCATCAGCTGTCTAGCTCAGCAATGAGCCTTGAACCTAGGTTCCGTACTAGCTGGTACTCACCAGTCAGCAATGCGTATCTGCAACCTTGAAGTAACACCTTGCTGATGCTGATGAGTGGTAACTAGCACGAAACCTACGTCAAGCGAGGCTTCCTGTGGCCGATCGGTTCCAACCATCTAATATCATCAAACCAATGTGCACTGTGATGGCGAGCCACCTAGTGGCATGGTAGCCACATTGCAAATCTGAGTGAGAGAATTCAGTCTGCACCAAACACCAAGGACTAACCAGACACACATCACACTAGTTATTGTCTAGTGTCGCGTCAAATCAATGAGCTTAAGATTATTTCTCAAGCTCCTGAAAACTTTTGTCACTTACCATGTTTTAACTTCTTCAAACGCTGGAGGCCTAACAATTCATGAAGTGAAGTCTGACTTTTATGTACAAAGGTAAGAGAATTCGTTTCTTATTCATCCCCTTTCACTGTTTTATTTGTATTTAGACTTACACTACTTATTACTAGTAAGTAGTACGAGTTTGCTATTTCCCTACTCCATAACTAAAGTTGATCTTCAGGTATTGATTTGTAGGGTTTGGGGTTCTCGTGGAAAATCGTGGCCAGTAGGATGCAGCAGGTCGAGTGTGAGGACAACTACTCGCCAAAGACATTGGCTAGCGGTTGCGCTATGTTGTGAATTAACAGAAGTTAGAATTTACGGGCGACAGGATGGGGTCCCAGTGGCTTAATGGTATACGAGCTTGGTAGCCTTGTGACCAGAAGGTCCCGGGTTCGAGAGCCTGTAATGGTTGGTGCGTACTGATGAAGAGTCTCAAACTAGGACAAAACAGCTGTCCATTACTCCCTGGCAGGATTTTCAATGGTTCTCTAACTGATGTCAGCTCATGATGAAATCCAGTAACTAAAGTTGATCTCTTTTGGAATATATCTGATTTTAATGTATCAATATTTTTGATTTGATCTGGCATATTTACCTTTCTATGGTTAAATGTCATTTGTTGCATACTTTAAGTTCTTTAAGTTCCCCTTTCTGTTGAACATTATGCACTCGTCATCTGCACATCCGAGCTTTGAGCATTTCTGATCACAGTTTCCCTCATTAACACAAAGTGAAAGACAGTAAATTCAACAGATTTCAGCCTAGACACATACCTCACCATTTGGTCAATCATGGAACCAGTTGAAATAGACTGCAGAGAACAGATCAAAATGGCTGTATGCTACTGTTCCACTGAGAACTCAAGGGAATTATTACTATTATCGACGAGTTGATCATGGATTGATATCACTTAGAGAACCATTGAAAAACAAGGAGTACTGGACAGCTGTTTCGTCCAAGTCTTGGAATCATCGGCAAAACGCATACACTGCCACAGGTCGAACCCAGGATCTTCCGGTTACAAGGCCAGCAAGCTCGTATACCATTCAGCCACTGGGACTCGATTCAATGGCCAGTGAATGAATTCTAACTTCTACTAATTCGTGATTTAGCGCGAACCCTGGTTTTCAATGGTTTTTTAACTGATATCAATCCGTGATCAACTGGTAAAAAAAACTAATCCTTATAAACCAACTATAAAAAAAACTATTATTGACACCTACTGTCTGTCTGCACAGAACTGCAGCAATTCAATTCGTCACATTTCATGCAGCACGCAAAGATAAGGATAAACAGAGACTCCAAAGAACAGTAATGAGCATAAATAGGCACGAGAAAGAATAGTAGCCTGGAAAACACGAGTGCTTAATGTATCTGGGATGCATCTGTTCTACTGGGAACGATTTTGAGTCATACAACCAACAGTCTCCACCGCTGACTAATAGCGTCCACACAGCCCTCCGCGACTTGCTCAAACCAACAGCCGACGATTTCATCGACTGATTCCACGTTTTGGACTGACTCTTTTACAGCCTAATTCCAAGTCAGCTATCATTAATAATCGTTGAGAAAGACGAGGATGGTTTAGCATGACAGTAACGATGAAATGCTACGCTACCAAAGTGATTATGATATGACACAAAAAGAAAACACCACTATGAAGGTTGGACAATCTGGCCACTGAGGCTGAGAACGCAGCAGGCAAAAGGGACCTGAAGACATTATATCAGATAACGAAGTCTCTATCCGGTAAGAGATCAACACAAACGAAACCTATAAAAGACAGCCAAGGGAACCCCATTACCAAGGAAGAAAAACAGATTAAACAATGGGCAGATCACTTCAAAGGACTCTTGAACCGACCACCACCTGTAACCCGTCCAGAAATACCAACAACAGCGCGCGCACAAGTGCAAGTTGACACCAATCCTCCAACGAGAGCTGAAGTTTTGAAGGCAATCAAGCTTCTGAAAGCTGGAAAAGCAGCCGGACCAGATGGAATACCCCCTGAAGCACTGAAAGCGGACCCAGAGACGACAGCAGACATACTGACTCCATTATTGCAAAAGGTCTGGAGGGAGGGAAAGGTACCTACTGACTGGAGGAAAGGTTACCTCGTGAAACTACCAAAGAAGGGCGACTTAGGCCTCACTCTACAAGAACTGGTGAGAAATCATGCTCCTGTCGACGCCAAGTAAAATCCTGAGTCGCATCATCCTGGGGAGATTAAAGGATGCACTGGATACAGAACTCCGACCAGAACAAGCTGGATTTAGGAAAGGCAAATCATGTTCTGACCAAAATGCAACTCTACGCTTCATCATCACATAACAAAGCATGGAATGGCAATCAAACCTAACTCTACCTCAACTTTATAGACTTTGAGAAGGCCTTCGACAGACAGCGTTGACCGCGAAGTAATTTGGAAACTACTCGAGTATTACGGTGTACCCCAAATATTCATCAACCTTATTCATCAACAGCTGTATGACAACGGAACATGTCGAGTGATCCACAACGGAAAACTCAGCGAGGCGTTTGGAGTAAACACAGGAGACAGACAAGGTTGCTCGCTTATCATCACCAATGATATTCCTAATTGTGGTGGACTGGATTATGCGTCCGACTGTGAGTGGGAAACGAGAAGACAGGGATATCCTGGACCGACGTGAAGAACCTAGAAGACCTGGATTTCGCGCGTGAATGATTTATGTTTGACGTCACACAAAATCGAAGACTTACAAGCGAAAAACGACAAACTGGTGGAAGAAGCAGCAAAGACAGGACTCCAAGTGAACATAGACAAGACGGAGGTTATGAAAATAACCAGCCAACAACAACAACAGCAACATCCAGCGTCAATCACCATCAACGGGAGGGATTTGAAAGAGGTTACTTCATTCACTCACTTATCTAGGGAGCATTGTCTCAACTACAGGCAGTTGGAACGGACGAGGATGTCAAATCGAGAATGGGGAAGGTGAGAAACACATTCATTAACCTGAAATCAATCTGGAAATCTTCGTCACTCAGCATCAACAACGAAATTCAGTCGGATTTTCAATACAAACAACGTCAAGTCAGTCAGTTCTTCTATACGGATCAGAAACTTGGCGAGCGGGTCACAAAGAATATTTCCAACAGCTTGTTGCAGACCTTTGTCAACCAACAACTGTCTTCGCTCTATACTGAAGATCAGATGGCCGGGCCGGAAAGAATCACCAACAGAAACTATGGGAACAAACGAACAAAACAAGAACCAATCACCAACCAACAAATATGCAGGAGAAGTGGAGATGGATTGGACACTCGCTGAATGAGGAGGCCCACTGCGTGTCATCGCGCTCGCATCAGGCCAGTGCTCGAGTGGAACCCGAAAGGGAGGCGGCGAGTAGGACGTCAGAGCAAGGGCGACATGGAGGGGATCGTGTGAAGAGGAGTATGGATAGTATGGACTAACATGGATTTAGGTGAAAAGTACAGCAGAAGACAGAAGTGGCAAGTGGAGACGTACAGCTGAAGCCCTATGTTCCACTAGGAACCAAGGGAATAATAATAATAAAGGTTGGAAATACACAAAAATAGGGGGAATAGCCTACCTCAGATAAAAAACTATTTCCAATCAATTGGTGTTGTTCAGCAGCGACTGTAGCTGCCGCAGCAACCATTGCTGCAGCCGCTGCAGCACTTGTCATTGTTACAGCTTCTTTAGTTGACAGACAACCACTGAGTCCAGTTTCATCCTCATCCTCATCATGGACCATAACAGATGAAGACATTTGATCTGTAGTAGTACTAGTACTCAGTCGAAGATTCCTAGACTGATCAATACACCGAAGTGAGGAGTTGTATTGACGGCTAGAAGTTGATGCAGGTATCAAACTGGATGATGATGATAATGATGACGATCCTGATCCTGATTGTAATTGAGGATCAACTTTATTTTTCAATTGTGTTAGACGAAAGAAATTAGCGGAACCAGTTACAGCAGCTGTAGCCGCGACGGCAGCTGCAGCTGCGGCTTTTGCAGCTGACGCCATTGTTGTTGTTACGCTAGAGGTAAAAAAAAAGGAAATAAAAAATAAATATTTCATACATTTTGGTTCCATTGGATAAATTTCGATAGAGAGAAAGATTGTTAATAAGTAAGGAATTAGGCTGGTGGTGGCACTCAAAAACCTACAAACTCATTCAGGCAGGAACAAGCTCTGTAGAATAAAAGACCCTGTAGATTGATCCAATTAAACAAAATAATATAAATTGCAAAATACCTTCCAATGACTATGAGTTGTGGTCAACTATATATAGGTCAAACTAGTAGATCGGGGGTAATCAGATTGTCGGAACATAAGAATTTAGCTAAGGTAAGAATGGTTGACCCCGAGAAGATGAGTAATTCAAAAATAAGCTCAGCAATTGCACTACATGTATGCATTAACACACAACCACACAATATGGTGGAAGAGGGTTAAGATTCTAAGAATTAATCTATGTAGGTGGAGAGAGAGAATAATTACTGAATCCTGATTCATTGAGTGTACAATCAACACAACATATGAAGCAGAAATGACTCAATGCAAATACCAGAGATATGCATGGAAGATTTTATTACCACCAGTAAGTCAGAGGAGAATAATAAATAATCTTAAAATTCTATTTCAATTCAATTCACGTAGATCATGACATTCTAACAAGTCACTCATTTATTTTGATTATAAAAACACTCGTCTTATTTCCCATCTGACTGTATTTGATCAATGACACTCTCATTATTATTTCTGAATGTACATTATCCCATATGATTTTTATTCAAATGTCTAATCATCCATTCCACATATGTATATAAATGAAGGAAAAAGTTGTGTGAGTGAGTGACTTGATATGATTATGAGTGGCAATAGTTTGTGCTCGAAGTTGGTCATCAGTTAATATTACTGTGTAACATCGTGTGACTTATCAAAATAAAATCTTATCCATAATAGAGATAGAAAGACCAGATTTGCAGTGTAAAATATGATGTCATCACTCTGTTTCACAAGTTCTCATCAGCTAACTGTACACCACTACCTGAAATTACAATTGTTATAAATAAATAAGGTAACATTTCATACTTCAATGTTTAAAAGGTTATTAAAGATAAGATGACCAGAAAAAATTAGGAGCAAGAAACCAATGATCGATTGCCAAACAAAATTTGAAGAAGGGAAAGGAATGGATACATTTCTCTCACAGATTTCCAAAACTCCTACACTACATCTTTCCATTTATTTTGAAACTTGCTCCGCCCTGCTAAACTCCTACCTGATGCGGCGATTTTATATCCCTGTGCTTACTTTTGCTTTCATTGAAAGAAGACATTTCGAACGACTGAGTTTTCGGAAGTTTCAAGTTTGCCGACGGATTGACATAACAGTTGGAAAACTACTGAAAACAACAAGAAAGTACTGGACAGGTGTTTCTTCAGCTTAGTTTGGGATTCATTGGCGGTACGCATTCAGCGCCAGGGCTCGAACCCAGGTGCTTCTGGTTACAAAGCGAGTTCGTAGACGATTCACAGCCACTGGAATCTGACTCGAGAGTTCTCATCAACTAGCAGTATAAATAAGAGCTATCGATCCTTACAGTTATTAGTCAACTTCCACGGTGTGGGCAGCCGGGAAGTAACAAACGCCCTCACAATCCGAAATACACACAAAACCTCTCTAATCCTCACTCATCTTTGTCTTCATCTTCATCTCTATTACCTTGCCTTCCTCCCACTGATGCAACTCCTCTACTTGATGGCTCCTCACTCCCTCTTCACTCTGTGTCCACTAAAAACGATGGAAGCCAAAAAACCACCACCGATAGTCTCCTAAAGCCACGCCACCAATTTCATATAGGAGCATTTAATGTTAGGACACTTTGCCAAATAGGACAACAAGCATCACTAGCTAAGACCCTGGCATCACGAGCCATTGATGTATGTTGTGCTTCAGAAACACGCATACAAGACCTAAGTATGGTTATTCACCTAACCTCACCTGGCCATCAGGTTGAATCTGCAAAATTCACCTTGAGGGTGTCAGGAGATGCCACAGCCAGTTCACGAGGATTAGCTGGCGTAGGGATAGCTTTGAGTACTAGGGCAGAAAAGACACCATGAAATCCTTGACAGTTAAACTGAGTCAGGCAGGGAGATGCAGACTCCCGGGTTGGGGCCCTCGGGACTCTAGGAATCAATGGCTGGAGACAATAGGTGACATGGCTCAAAATCATTGTCAATGGCGCAGATGTATTCAGTCTCTGTAATCTTTCATATTCCTTTCTACCATTACCCATTCTGTTTCACTCTTATACTTGTCAAACTCTATTGATTCTCTTCACTCATCTTCTTGTCTACCTCTGTGTGCTATTTTGGAAGGTGGCAACTCGAACTGCTGCACTTCGGTGCCAAGTTCTATGTTGAATCCAGACAGACAGACAGTTATTGGTGCTTCTAACGACATGGCAATGCAACACTGTTACACACACACACACACTTGTGTCTACCTCATGCAGTGTTTGTGAAATAAAGAGACAATTATTCAAGTGTGGACATTTGTAAAATAATTATATTTGTAAAATCTCAGCGATATTGAAATGAGTAATTCCAACGTTTCGTTCGGCAATCTGGTCCGAACTTCTTCAGGGAAATCAATCGAAATTAACATAACAGAGGCTTATATATAAAAGGAACATTTATTGTTTTTTAAAAACTTTGTCCAATCATGAAATATAGAACAAGTATCAACAAGTAGAGTAAACAAAATTGTATGAGCTGTGATCAAAATTTGACCTCGGACTTACAAATATTGGTCTACCTTTGTTAAACACTTTAAACACAGTGCGTATGTGTGTGTGTGTGGGTGAACAATTGTAAATCGTTTCTTAACGTCTCCATGAGAAGAAATAGACAATCGGGAAACTTTGACCAAGTATTATTAATTAGTGATATATATCCATTCCTATTTATTAATTAGGATTTCTTATGCATCAGCTAACACACCTCACACCTTCATGTCTGTTCAAACTGTTAGTATCTAGAATTTTATGATTAGACTGTATTTTCAAAATTATGGTGTTTAGGATTAGAGTTTAGTTGAAATACACCCTGTCAAACTTATTGCTTTGTCTTCTTTCTGAAGACTGAGCTGCTTTATTCGACCTACTGGAGTTGTCAGACGACTCGACAGCTATGGATTTGGGATATGCTTTCTGTTGCAGACAACGGGGAGTGAAAACACGATGACTGTGCCGATTACACAGTTTCTTTGTTAATTTATTTCGATTGCAAAATAATTGAAATGTACTGTCGTCAAGATTTGACAGAATGGTTCTAAAATATTTGGGCGCCGAGTGAGATTTTAGAAATATAATTATTTTACAAATGTCTACTTCTCACTCGGTGCCCAAATATTTCAGAACCATTCTGTCAAATCTTGACGACAGTTCATTTCAACATTTAAGTGTGGATTTATTGGCAGTCCAAGCTTCATTCTATGAATCACTATACGATAATGGTTATATCCACTGACGTAGAGTTCTAGGTAAACAGGGGAAATCAATCGACGAAGTCGTGAAGCTACAAAGACTGAGATGGTTAGGACATGTGTTACGTATGCCAAGCCATCGCCTCCCTCGACCGAAGAGCAATGTTAGCGGATATAGGGTCAGGCTGGACAAAAGCTAGCGGCGGCCAAACAAAAACATGGCATCAGTCAATGAAATCCACAACAGTTGGTCTAAGCCACGTAGAAAGGTGTAGACTTCCAGGCTGGGGTCCTCGGGATGGTAAAAATCTATGGTTGGAAACAATTGGTGACATGGCTCAAAACCGTTCTCAGTGGTGCAGATGCATCCACTCCCTGTGACTTATGATTTCCAATGAAACTGTTTTGTTCTTCATTATTACTCCTCCTTTGTCTCACACCTCTGCTCACTGTTTCTACTATGCTTTTCTTGTACTTTCTTCTCTTGCTTCGCGTGCTACACGGAATGTGGCGACTTGAACTTCCGCACATTTGTGCAAAGTTCTATGTCGAAAACAGACAGACAGACAGACTGAATGCTGAACAGGCAGAATGCTAACTTCACCCCTAAGCATTGTAGATGGTTTGAGCATAGTAACATACCTTCACAAATAAAACTCAAATATTTAAAACGCTTAATTACAAAACATTGTTGTCCAACATGCCAATGACATACACACCCTAAAGTGTAGAGATACATAAGTCTACAAAGAGAGATGCAACATTCAGTATTCAGTCAATTCAGCGATAGAATACTCAGCGAACCACGCTAACTGATTGATTGATTGATTTCAACATTGAAATCTGCACGGAAGTGCTGTAGTACATTAAGTTGCCACACTCCATGAAGCACCCAAAAGAAGACAAAAGAGAGACGGTGAAAAGAGATTCTAAGAAGTGGTAATTAGCAGAAACGTGAGGGAGAAAGAACAGTAACATAGAAAGACAAAAGTAGCCATATTACCAATAGCCTCCAGCCTTCATTGGTTTTTAGCATCCCGAGGACCCCAGACAGTCAGGAAGTCAACATCTTTCTACACTGTTCAATCCAGCCTGTTATGGATTTCATCGACTGATGAAGTCATGTTTTTGTTTGACCACCACTAGTTTTTTTCAAACCTTATCCTATAACAACTAAAACTGCCAGTCGAAGAAGGCAACAGTTAAGGGCATACGTAACACGTGTCTTAGCCATCTCGATCGACGTAGCTTCACATCAACCAACGCACGCAATCTGAGGTTCGATCCCCAACCAACGTACTCCTACGTCTTAACTATCCAGTAGCAAACCCAGAAAAGGAAGGTTGGTGTGTGTGTGTGTGTGTGTGTGTGGTAACAGCTGGCTGCGAACAAGCCAAAATTGTAAACAACGGTTTGCGTCAATGTTACACGTCCGGAATCAGGATCTTCAGAAGATCTATAACAAAGCTTAAACTTGAGGAACTCAACAACCAATCACAGCAGACTTAACTTGTGCAAATACGATTCGCAGATATATGGCTTAACTTTCTGAGAAACGGCCACATAGAGATGACAGAATAACCTTGGGCAAGAAAACAACCCGTCAGAAGACGTTGCTTCTTCGCTGACAATAATGTACATAAAAATCTATAAATATCGCTTGATTTTCTCAATCAACAATCTGTTGCCTGGCTCTTGCCTTCTGTTTCTTCTCTTGCCTTTGAAGCTCAAGTTTAAAGTCTCCTGTTTTGTCCTCAGAACTCAAGGCATGAAATTTCAAAAGATTTCACATCCACAACTCAAAATAAAATTTACAAAATTCATTAACATTTTCATAATCAAGAAAAAACATTACCTGGACCAACTGTTTGAATCTGAGGTAATTGTATCTTGAAGAGAATGTGAATTATTATCCAGCAAGGTATTTGTACACTTACAACGATCTGATGACGATGAAGAAGCGTTGACAGTATTCGTCGACTGAACATTATTTTGATCCAGTGAATTATTATTATTAGTATTATTATTATTATTACTATTATTACCAACAACACCGCCGCCACCCCCATGTTCATTTTGATGATCATCGTTTGAACTTTTCTCATCAACTGTAGAAATTTTTTGTTGTTGTTGTTGCTGTGGGCAACGGTTGATAACTGTAGCATCATGATCACATTTAATACTAATAGAACAGTTATGTCTAGATGAATTGGATTGTGACAACGATGCTCCACCACCATAAGACGAAGATGATAATGATGACGACAACGGTGATAACGTCGCTGATGACGATTGAACAGCATGCATAATATCTTTTTCATTACAACCAATTAAATTTCCGAGCATTGCAGCAACTGATGATGAAGTTGAATTGCCAACACCACCACCAGCTGCACCACTACTGGCGGCAACTGCTGCTGCAGCAGCCATTGGTTGAGAGAAAATAGCACCTACAACACACATACACACACACGTGAAAATTGAATACTATACAATACAGAAACGTTTACAAATAAATACCTTGAATGTATATATTTTAATCAAGAATAGATTATTTGAAAAAAGACAGGAATTGGTGACAAACCTTCAGTTGGGAATTATGCAATCGAACTGATTATGCGCACTTCAAAGAAAAATTTCATTTTGCAGGAGTTGAGTGGTGCCGAATAGACAGGCCTATCCAGCGATCAACAACCTACTGTAGGCTACACTGTAACCACGAGATAAATCTCACCCATGGCAGTGAGTACATTGGAAGGACAGAAAGAAGACAGAACTTCTATCCGATTTTCAGAGTATATTCCAAGAAAATTATGCTTAAAAGGAAGCAGATATTTACAAAGTGCAATTACCAGACACCCACCCTGTGGATACAGGTCATTTTGTCAAGATTTCCAAATTCTTCAAAATATTAAACATACAAAGGACAGGAAATCTACTATGATTTATTGCTGAAGCGATTGCACTCAAGTGTTTCAGACGAAACTTATGCACACATACAGAGAGAGTGTAGTCAATCTATCTCCCAGCCTTGGTAACCGTATTACTTTCATTACAATGATTATTCATACACACTAGTAAGCTCAACTCACTAAGCAGGTTTTCAGTTTGATGAACTTTAACCTTTTTGAGTTTCCATGTTCACCTCCCCCCCACCTAATTTTCATAGTTTGATAGCATATAAATTGATGGTAACTTGAACTAAAAAGTATTGTAATACGTATATTCCGGATGCGTTCATCTTACAATGTCTTCTTTATTACGTTTCAAACATTGAATTATGAAATGTTATTATTTATAACCATTGTAATTTCAGGTAGTGGTGTGCAGTTAGCTGATGAGAACCTGTGAAATAGACTGATGACATCATATTTTATGCCGCGAATCTGGTCTTTCTTTCTGTCGATCGAAATTCACCAAAGGAACCAAATGTATGAAAATTCGATATGAGTTACAATAATAGTTCAATAACTAATCTTCAGTTATTTACAAGCTCATAGGTACGTATTAAAAGATGGTTTTCACTTGCTGTAAACAAGGGAAATCCGTCCTCAGAAATACTGATGTGACACTGCCACGCAGCTGTCTATCTGTCTATTTTCGACATAGAACTTTGCACCGATGTGCACCAGTTCAAGTCGCCCCACTCCCTCCTTGTAGCATACAAAGCAATAGAAGAAAGTAGAGAAAATGCATAATAGAGACAGTAGACAGAGATATGAGACAAAGGAATAGTAATAACGAAGAACAAAACAGTTTCATTGGATATTATAAGTCACAGGGAGTGGAGCATCTGCGCTGTCATTGAGAACGGTCACTTTGAGCCATATCACCGATTGTCTCCAGCCTTCATTAATTTTTACCGTCCCAACGACCCCGGCTAGGAAGTCTACACCTTCCTACGTGGCAAGCTTAAAATAACTGTTGTGGATTTCATTGACTGATGACCAAGTCATGTTTTGGTTTGACCACCGCTAGCTCTATTCCAGCCTGACGCTGTCAGCTAACATTGCCCGTCGGTTGAGGAAGTCAATGACTAGGCATACGTAACACATGTCCTAGCCATCTCAGTCGATGTAATTTCACAGGCTCGTTGTCGATTGATTTCCCCTCCTTACCTAACTAGAACTAGACCAATGCCTAACCTCAATATTGCTCACCCTAGGATACCACGGCGCCTAACACGGAAGATAGAACGCAGAAACCTAGGATCAAAGACAGCTAGTCAGCCTTTTCATGTCTTCTACTCTCAATGGGTATGTGTCACTCACAGCCATAAAGGAAGACAGAGCGGACTGCTGAGCAGTACACACGCCCTTTGGCCGATAGCCAGCCGGATATCACGTCTACGCCAGAGACGGCGGTCACGCAGCTACAGACACTAATTTTTCGACTACTAACAGTGAGAGTGAGTGTGGTTAGTCCCTCTACAGATAAACAGGTATGAAAACGATGTAGTTCAAAATCGCAAACAGAAAACCAAAACATGTCACTTTGGTCTCAGTCTCTCTCAATATTAGTCCGGCCATCATTTAACAATAAGAATTAGTCAATGTCTTGGGTATTTTTGTTCTCAATGGATCTATATACCCCGCTTAATCGGATTCTGCTTGGATAACCGAGAGTCATCACTATATAAAACCCAAATGCACAATGTGATTCACTAATATAGTACACACACAAAAAAACAGCTATCGATCGGTTATTATTTAATCAGTAAACGACAAATATCATCACATTCATCATTTAGAAAATCAAAACAAGTGATGGTTCAGCGAAGAAACTCTTTCCAACAACGAATTTATCATCAAGCTGTACAATCGTATAAGAAGTTATATCCGGTGAGGGAATCGAATCATACGTGTGAATGCATAAAATAATAATAATAGTATGAAAAGCAATTGAAAACTGAAATGTTTGTGATTATAATCATAGTTAAATGTCAAGTGGCAAAGCAAATTAATGTCATATGTAGAAAAATTCATAGGATGAATAGACCTTGAAAAAGAGTGCGCAATTATAGAACTAGTAGACAAATCGAATAAACTAAAAATAAAAATGTTACGTAATATGGTGTGAAATTTGATAGCATAGAATTTAACGTTGTAAAACAAAGAGCTAGGTATATCGGTCGTTCGACTCAAATTTTGTCCAAGAGGGTGGAAGAATACTATCCTGCATGGTTGTTACGAAGAGGTGGAAGTGGAACAATAAGAAGCGCGATCACTGAACATCTGGTCGATAATAATCACCCTATCTCTCTCTATAGCCTCCGCCTTTAAAGTCATCTACAAGGCAAAGAGTAATTTACCCAAATCCCTACGTACCCGACTCATCTGTATTGCTGAAGCCATCCTTGGCTATCGAAACAGAAAAGCCAGATCTCTGTGTACAGAAAAAGTTCGTTCAACCCATCCAACTTTCGTGGTCTTAATCCTTCTATGCTAAAGTGTGGTAATCCCTAATCATATTTTGTCTCTACCAGTTTCTCATTTTTATCATTTTGTCTATTCAATTTGCATTACTATTATTTATTATTATATCCTTTAATTCCTAGAGGAATATAGGGCTTCAGCCACTCACGTCTCCATCCATTGCATTCGGTTCTCTGCTAAAGTTTTCACCTAGCTCCACGGCTGCCCGCATGCTTTCATCTCCTCTTCACATGACCTCCTCCACTCCATGTCACCCACGCCTTGACCACCAACTCGCCGCTTCCTATTCGGGTTCCACTCGAGTAATAGCCTGTCTGATGATGTCACTTGATGGTTTGTTTCCTCAGAGTATGGACAATTCACCTTCATTTCTTCCTGCTTGTTTGTTGCACAATCGGTTCCTGGTTGGTTCGCTTATTGCCAGAGATCTCTGTTGCTTATCTTTTCTGGCCGGCCATCTGATCTTGAGTATTGAGCGAAGACAGCTGGCTGTTGATGAAGGTCTGTAGTTTGTTTGAGGTGCTCTCAATGACGCGCCAACTCTCTGATCCGTATAGTAGCACTGACTGACTTCACATTGGAGTTGAAAATCTGGATCTTATTTTTGATGCTGAGTACTGTTGACCTTCGCACAGACTTGAGAGTAACGAAAGCTGGCGTTGCTTTCCCTATCCTTGCTTTGATTGATATCGTCGTCAGTTCCATCCGCCTTTAGTTGAAGCGATGCTTCCCGGGTATGTCGGTAGGTAAAGGAGGTTGTTTCTTTCAGGTTCCTCCCGTTTATGCTGACTGTTGTCTGTTGTTGCTGTTGGCCAGGAATCTTCATCACCTCTGCTTTCTCTATGTTTACTTGAAGTTCTACCTTTGATGCTTCTTCTGCCAACTTGTTGCTTTTCACTTGCATATCTTCTAGTTTGTGATGAATCAGACATATATCATCGGCGAAGTCCAGATCCTCCAAGTTTTTTGTGTGAGTCCATTTTATGCCTGTTTCCTCGTTGCTCGTTGCATTATCCAATCTTTACCTTCCTTTAATAAGTCATTTGTTATTATTACTATTCTCACTTTGAACTGTTCCCAGCATTATTTCACTTGTCATTCTAAATCAATTTTTTTTTACATCGTTAAATTCTATGTTATCAAATTTCACACAATATTACGTAACGTTTTTATTTTATTCGATTCGCCCACTAATCCTATAACTGCAAACCCCTTCCAAGCTGTATCCATCCTATGAATTATTCTATATATGACATTTAACTATGATTATAATCCCATATTAGTTTGTTTATTAGATGTATCACACAGTGAAACAGTATTGTATACTGGATGACATTTCGAACACAATTTATTCATTGTTCATAATCATATCAATTGTGGTCACACGACTTTGAGTCATGGAATTTACTTACTACCACAGCGCCCAAGTTTTACACATATATTAATATGATTATAATCACAAACATTTCAATTTTAATTGCATTTTATATTACTATTATTATTGTTTTATGCGTTCACACCTACGATTCAATTCCCACACCGGATATAACTTCTTACAAAAAACCATATATATATATATATATGATTGTACAGCTTGATGAAAAATTCGTTGTTGAAAAGAGCCACCTCGCTTAATCACCACTTGTTTTGATTTTCTATGTTACACACAATGGGAATTTTCCATGAATTAAAAAAAATAGCACACATTCATCATTATTATCATCATCACCATCATCCACCTACCAATACATGCTGCGGCAGCGACAGCAGCTGCTGTCTTAGCTTGTTCTTCATCCGCTGGATTCAAGTATTCCGATGAAGAAGGCATAGGATTAGATAAAGAGTCTACTGAAGTGCTGTTATTATTGCTATTATTACTGCCACTATTGGGATTATTATCGTGGGAATATGATGATTCTCTGCCTGAACAGTGTGGATAATTTTGAAAACATGCAGTCATATTTGTGTTATAATCATTATTACTATTGTTATTATTATTATTAATACTATGGATATCTGGTTTGTGTGGTGAGTTTTGACATGAACATGATTCAGTATTACTCATCAAGGTTATATTGTTGTTATTACTATTACTGTTATTATTATTATTGCTGGTAATAATACGAGGCGAAGGAATTGCTGAACTAGACTCCATATCCAAATCATTGAACTTCGTCTGAGTACTTGGAAGCATAGCATGATACTAAAATCAAAAAAAATCAAATCAAATCAAAAGCAAAAGTAAATCAAAAAAAACTGGAAGATGGAAAAGCATATCAAGTAAACGAAGTGTACTCTGAAGAGGGATCACGGCTAAATTTGCTTTTATCATCAAGAATAGACATCATTTTAAATTTGTAGTCACTTTTATTCATAACGCTGACGCTGACAAAATGCAGAGTCTTCTGAACACCTTGAGCTGCAATCTACAAATGTTTGGCGTGCGATTAGCTCCCGGCAAATGCAACATGATTCCACAAGACTGGACTACACTGACACCTAGTTTAGAAATAGGGAGTGAAGTGGTACAGCACGTTGACCGCTTCATTTATTTGGGAAGTACCATCAGCCCCGAACGGGTTGATCTCTGAGGAAATCTCAGCACGGATACAAAGGGCTAGCTTCGCATATACCAGTTTAAGCCGTCTCTGGCTTAGTAGACGTGATATCCGGCTGGCTGTTGACCAAAGTGCGGGTGTACTGCTCAGTAGTCCGCTCCGTCTCCCTTTATGGCTGCGAGACCTGGTCATTGAAAAGATTAACTGTATTTGATCATAGGTGCCTGCGTTCTATTTCAGGTGTGAAGTGGTAGAATAAGGTGAGCAATATTGAGGTTAGGAGTCGAGTCCTAGGTAAGGGGGGAAATCAATCGACAACGAACCTGTGAAATTACATCGACTGAGATGGCTAGGACATGTGTTACGTATGCCTAGTCATCGCCTTCCTCGACGGGTAATGTTAGCTGACATAGGGTTAAGCTGGAAAAGAGCTAGCGGCGGTCAAACGAAAACATGACTTGGTCATCAGTCAATGAAATCCACAACAGTTAGTTTAAGCTAGCTACGTAGGAAGGTGTAGACTTCCTGACTGGGGTCCTTGATGCAGTAAAAATCAATGAAGGCTGGAGACAATCGGTGATATGGCTCAAAGTGACCGTTCTCAATGACAGCGCAGATGCTCCACTCCCTGTGACTTATAATATCCAATGAAACTGTTTTGTTCTTCGTTATTACTATTCTTTTTGTCTCATATCCCTGTTTACTGTCTCTATTATGCATTTCTTCTACTTTCTTCTGTTGCTTTGTGTGCTACAAGGAGGGAGTATGGCGACTTGAACTGGTGCACATCGGTGCAAAGTTCTATGTCGAAAACAGACAGACAGTTTCAGCCTTGAGATAAGCAATAGCAGCACACACCTACTTCTTCTTCTTCTTAACTCTCAAAGATTCACGTATTTTAGCACAAAACATCACCTGATACAATTTATCAAGTGAGTTATTTCAAAAATTGTTTAAAAATATAACACACCATCATCATGCTACTAATTATGGTAGTATTAGTTACAAGTCTGTCTCAAGATGAGAATAAAACTAAAGCAGCAGAAGGTCATCGGTTTAGGCAATAGGAACCACACTAAAACACTATGCATATATGACATTTAAAGCCATCTCCATCTACTGAGATTTGACTGACTAACTGACTGCGTTTCAACACACACACAAGAGTGTAACAGTTCAATTAGTCACACACCGAGTAGCACAAAAAGAAAGACAAACGAGAGAGAGAGACACACACACATTATTCAAAAAGACTATACTAAACAGAAATGTGAGGGAGAAAGAATAGTCGTGTGGAAAAACAAATGACGATTTAGTAAAAAAAAAATATGGGAGATTCACCTTCACAACCACATCGATCGACTACTTACCCTTGCTTACCTAACACTCTACACTCATATTATACTACTCAGCGGAGACAGAACGCAAGCATTTTTGGTTAAAGACGGTCAGTCTGACTGTTGAGTTGTCAAATGGGTGTATTCTTATTTCTCAAAAAGAAAGCATTACACTGTATGTCAGTTAGGGAAAGTCGTCGACTTCTTTGCTTACTGAGGCTGGTGTCCCTCAAGGCACTGTCCTTTCTCCTTTTCTGTTTTCTTTCCTCTTGCATGACTTACCTCACTCTGATGAAATGTTAAGTATGCCGATGATCGGACTATTTCAGTGTCAGTTAACTCCCAGCCATACTGTACTAAGATGAACAGCTTTCTATCAGGAATTAGCAAATGGTCTTCGTCCAACGGCTCTAAACTAAATCCTTCCAAATGTCAGATTGTTAATTTCAGTTTCCGATGTAAAAGAAAGTTAAATGAAGCTCCTAATTCCTATGACCCTTGCAAAATTGATGATACTGATATAGAAACCAAGTCTGGCGTTAAATATCTTGGATTAATTATTTCCTCTGATCTATCCTGGTCTTCACATGTCTTAGAGATTTCTAAAAGAATATTTCGTCTGACTATATACACTAAGAAGTTAAGACACTCAGGCATAACTCAACCAACCACTCCTCTTACAGTTTGTCAACTGGTGTACTTTACCTATTCTTCTTCACTGTTCACCCTTGCTTATTCTTTCCCGGATTGCTTAAAAAGGACTGCGTCATACTTCGTAGAACTCTGAAGACTCTCAGTAGGACGAGTGGTATCCCATTGGGCCATATCGTTGATATTGTCACTGATAGGCACTTGATGTCATGCAACAAATTTGCTAAAGGAATTTTGTCAGACTGTGAGCACCCACTCTACCCGCAGTTTCAACCTTCTGTCACCTCAGGTACAACCAGAGGTCTTTTCAGAAGACTTTAAGCACGTACATCGAAGTATAAAAATTCCACTATATCATATTTGGCGGCACGTAATTTATGTGATGAAAATAGTGTTAGGCATGAACTGACTAACCTTCTTTGCACTACTAAATAAACCATTTCCTCCATCAGCCCCAACGGGCTGATCTCTGACGAAATCTCAGCACGAATACAAGGGGCTCGTTTCGCATTTGTTAGTTTACGCCGACTCTGGCGTAGACGAGATGTTCGACTATCGACCAAAGGGCGGGTGTACTGCTCATCAGTCCGCTCCGTCCTCCTTTATGGTTGTGAGACCTGGCCACTGAGAGTGGAAGACATGAAAAGACTAGCTACCTTTGATCATAGGTGCCTGCGTTCTATTTCCCGTGTAAAGTGGCATAATAAGGTGAGCAACATGGAGATTAGGCGTAGAGTTCTAGGTAAGGAGGGGAAATCAATCGACGAAGTCGTGAAGCTACAAAGACTGAGATGGTTAGGACATGTGTTACGTATGCCAAGTCATCGCCTCCCTCGACGAGCTATGTTAGCGGATATAGGGTCAGGCTGGAAAAAAGCTAGCGGCGGTCAAACAAAAACTTGGCACCAGTCAATGAAATCCACAACAGTTGGTCTAAGCCACGTAGGAAGGTGTAGACTTCCAGGCTGGGGTCCTCGGGACGGCAAAAATCTATGGTTGGAAACAATTGGTGACATGGCTCAAAATCGTTCTCAGTGGCGCAGATGCATCCACTCCCTGTGACTTATGATCTTCAATGAAACTGTTTTGTATTTATTTATTACTCCTTTGTCTCACACCTCTGCTCACTGTTTCTATTATGCTTTTCTTGTACTTTCTTCTCTTGCTTCGCGTGCTACACGGAATGTGGCGACTTGAACTTCCGCACATTTGTGCAAAGTTCTATGTCGAAAACAGACAGAGACATTTCCTCCACCCTTACAACATCAAACTTTATTGTTATTGTAATTCTTATATTTATAATCCTCCCAATTTTTTGTTTTTATTTGTTTATTTTTTTCATAAGTATGAACATCATTTGAGCTGTGTTATAACTGATAATTTTGTATTTCCCCTCACCATATTGCTATATCAACAGAAAATTAGATTCATGCTAAAATTTCCAAACCAAACTGAATCGTCAATACTGTTTGGACAAACTCACTGTTATTACTATTATTATGATTGTCATATGTAATATTCTCAATTTGTGCTTCGAATATTTTTGACTTTATATCGTAAAAGTGGTCAAATTCCTCTGGTTAATTTTTGTTTTAATTTTATTTATATTTTAAGTAAATCAGATGCAATATTGTGACAAATGCTGAGAATTCCATTCTGTATTATAATTACTGTTTTCGGAATAAAGTAGATTATTATTATTATTATTTTCATATCTTCCTCTTTCAACAGCCTTTCCGTATATCTATAAAGGAGGGGAGGTGCGAACAGCTGTAGTACGCGTGCTATTTAATCAATAGCCGGACATCACGTCTATGCCCGAGATGATGTAATTCGACAAATACCACATGAGTTTGTTGAATCCATGCTGAGATTTAGACAGTAATCCACCCGGTGGGGCAGATGCAACTTTCCAAAGAAATGAAGTGGTCAAAACACCCAACCACATCACTCATCCTGAAACTACGTGTCGGCGTAGACCAATGTTCTGTAACAGCAGCTTGCATTTGACAAGAGGAAATCATATGCCAAATATTCAAAGATTTCAGTCGAAGGTTTTCAGGAGGACTCTGCATTTTATCAGTGTCTTCATCTAGGAGAAAACAATATCATTTGCATATTCCTAGTCACAAAAAGATTGTCTCTCCTGGTAAGTAGGTCAATCTCTAATTCGCTAAAGTCATTCAGGATCAATTCAGTTAGTACATCACATTTTATGATGAAATTAGACAAAAATGAGAACAGTGGGTGGAAACCACTGGTTGTCATCATTACTTTAGATAACAACTCTCTGTAGGCTGTATGAGATCGAAGAGTGCCTTAGTTTAGAGTAACATACTTTGTCAGTACTCCATGTTCACGGCTAAACGGCGAAGTTAAACTTTAGGCACCACTAACTACCGATCAGCGAACTACCTTCAACGAACCTATCATATGAATTAGGGGATTTCTATTATGGAAAACGTATATTTATGGGGGGGGGAATCATAAAAACCGCATAAAACCGTTACATAGGGTATCTTTCTCTAACATGTGACAGAAACATCTCGCAGTTTAGCATAGGAGTGCCAATAGAAAAGTTACACCACATTCTGTACATACATTCATCCAAATAACTATAGATGACATCCTTTTGAGATCCATTTATAGTCCTAATCTTATTTTTCAATCTCCCCCAAAATCCTTCCATAGAATTCGTGTGTGTCCCTGTAATTGGATCCACAAAATCACTAGAATGGTTCACTGTGATGAATATAACCAAGAGATGACAGTGAGTTATAACCTTTCCATTCAGCAGTATGTTCCGTAGATCCCTGTTTCATCAGCCGAGTGACAATATGTACTAAGGCAGATTTTCTGTCTGGTATTCTGTCCACGAATCCTTTCCGCAGGGAGGTGTCATATAAACCGATCACCTAAACATTGTTAGCTCGCTCACGACCACGGTTGTATTTTTTCTTCAGTAGCACAGTTTTGTCCACGTGTACAACGACACCTTCCCGCCTAACAACGAAGTAATCCCCTGCATTTTCCGTAAGGCGATGTCTCTGCAGTGCTGGTACCACTTAACAACTGTTGACACGAGGCTGTTTTCAGTTCAGCAGCTGCGCCTCTCACAGGCTGTTTTAAAACTCAGTAATTACAAATACACAAAATCTGGATTACGTAGAGATGTGACCTAGCAAAAAATGTTCCTACGAAATATTAAAATCATCAGCTTACCTTCCCTAATACTAACTCGTCTCAAGCAAATTGCACAACAATGGACATATCCATCAAAATCGACCCGCTAAAACTTTTTAAACTCATGACACCTCCCCGTTGAACAAATCCTCTCCTTCCTAAGCAACCCCAAATCCAGGCAATACTGTAAAACCTTATCCTCATAGAACTGCAAGTGTAACTTCGTTAGAGCTGGCATTTGATCCTCATTGGACCATTCGGGGTCATTCGTTGATTGGTAGTAGTTGGTGGTGCTCAAAGTTTAACCTAGCCTGCTAAAACTTCACAACAAAGATATACTACACTAAGCGTAAATGGAACTTCCAGTTGAAGAAAGCAACAATTTAATTCCATACAGACACTTAGTTTAAAAAAACTCACCTTGGAATTTTGTGACATCGAAGTGGAACAAGCGAATGCAGCAGCTGCGGCTACGGCGGCTGCCGCGGCAGCCGACACTGTTGGTAAATTCGCCGCAGCTGCTATAGCTGATTCATGTACACTGACACCTTTCGATGGATTACCATTTTTACTACTATTATTATTATAATTAGTATGCTCTTGAGATATATTACTTCCACTAGATAGATTATTAGAACCAATAACAGGTAAATGTTGTGCAATATAACCAGCCGCTGCTGCTGCGGCTAGCACAGCTGTTGTTGACGAAGACACCGATGTCACTGAGGTTGTCGCTGTCTTTGTCGTTGTAGCAGAAACTGGTGTCACTCTAACTGTTTCTGTTGCTGCTGATGTTGGACATCTTGAGGACTTAGTTTCATGAATTTGTTTCTGCATCTCAGCCGCTGTAACCACCTGTTGTTGATCACAATTCTCTACACTGGGAGGTTGATTAATATGAAATACACCATAAGATGGATAATAGGTTGCAGATGCCGATGATATTGACGGATGAGCTGGTAACACACCAGTGACAACAGCATGATGTTGTGTAGAACAAGCTATAGCCGCCTGTGATTGGATTAAACTATTATTGCTCACATTACACGTAAACTGAGATAGAGGAATGGTTAATAGGGTAGGAGCTTGTGAATGACTTGAACTTGTTGCAAGTAGATGATGATGATGGTGATGTGAAGAAGCATCGTGTGGAACAATATGGTAGGTGGCATGAGGCGCAGACAATGCTGTCTGAGGATGAATTACATTTGGATGTTGTGTGGGACTAGCACCGACTGTGATGACAGAAGAACACGGACTAATATGCGGAGCACTGGTAATTGAGACAAGTGATGAATGAGCATACAGAGTAGGTTGTCCTGTCGACGTATTACTAATAAGACCCATAAGTGAATGTGAAGAAACACCAGGTATATATGCATTGCTTACAGGATTTAAAACTGAATCTGCAGGTGATACAATGACTGCATTATTTATAAGAGACGGTTGACTGAAATGAGTTGAATTACTGAATAGAGAAGGATCAATATGTGCAGATGCTGCTGGTGTGTTTTCACTGACATAACTAGCTTCCTGTAAATTTGATTGATTATACACAGTAGGATTTGCTACTTCTTGTGCCTGTTGTTGTGTGGTGGTGATATGACGATATTTACAGTTAGCTCCTCGATTACACGCTCCATTGGCGAAATCCTATACGGACATATTATGAGGACAAGAAGAAAAACAAAGATGGTTAAACCAACAAAAACACTAGATAAATTGAAATTGTTCACACTCGAGGATTAATTGTATGCAAAAACTCTAAAGAAATCAGCATATCGACAAGTTAGAAACAGAAGACAAGAAGCCTTATAACTTCATCGTAACTGACCGAGAGAATAAATGTTATTTGATGAGACTAACGATATAGGGGTTAAGAAAGTAATACAACACACACTATTGATTGATATGATCGGTTGGTCATTATTCACACCTTTATAGTACTAACGTACCTGATAGAGGTCATTTAAACGCTGGACAAGTATTTTGCACTCAAAAAGCCGAACAAATAGGGGCAATAAAAACAAAACAAATGTAGAGAGAACAATGCTGTGTGGGACAGAATCAGTCTGTTATTTACAGTTAATCAATGAATCCCCGACCGATAGCTGCTACCTTGATGTGGTGATCGGGCTTGCACATCGCGATGACCCAACAACCTACACTGGCTAGGACCAATGGTTCCTGCAGATCCTACCATGCCTGCCAGGAAGGTTGTTAGGATAGCCATTAGACTGAAAGCAGTTACCGGCATAGTGTAAGAATTTTGTTTTTACACTATGCTAGGGGGAGGTCTGTGGGCGAAGTCGTACTGCTGGGGAACATGGGTGTAACATCAGTGAGGTGTTTCCCTCAGATGACCAGCATGCCAGCCAACCAGCCAGCTATACTGTCTCTCCACTCTGGAGAAAGAGAGGGGGTTAGAAAAGGTCGACCCAAAAAACTGTACATCCCGACTTACGCCACCTACGGTGGTCCGTAACCGGCGGTAAGTTTACTAATACGGCACCAGTTCATACAGGCCGTGTGAGAGCGGCTGGCCTAAAGCAGTTGTCCCCTGGGTTCTGCGATCACGCAACACTAACCCTCTTTCTGTTTCAGGTATCCGAAGGATCAAACAACTTCCACAGTGTGGGCAGCCGGGAAGTAACAACTGCCCACACACTTCTAATAGCACACGCAGCCTTCCTGAGCATCATTCTCCTCTACCCACATCACCTTTAGCATAATAATTGAATCGCTATACTGTGAATGGAATAAACTTTGGAAAGTACAAAAAGTTTGTTTTAATAATAAAACTCATCACGTTCTGAATTGTATTGATTAATGATCACAATGTATAAAGACGATAGTGGAATAATAATAAGTAACACACAACAAAAGAATGGCAAAAAAAGAGGATACAAAACCTGATTCGAAACTCATCATGAGCATGCACTGCTGTTGACACTAATGATAGCGAATACAGCTGAATATCGAATATACCTACAAAGTCATTTTCTGATTATATTTTACAAATTCTAAATCAAACAGAACAAATAGGATAAAATGTATCCTAATCAATGTCAATAACATCATATGAAGAATCACATACCTCCTCAGCGTCTCTACAGAGCACGAATGTCCATCTAAAACACACATTAATCAAGAAGGTCTAACCATAGCATCATAATGGCATACACATATAGATTTCTTATGGTTGAAGGAGACTGGCAGGAAGCTCTTGGCCTGAACTTTCACTCACTCCTCACGACTACTACTCATCACACCCAGTGTATTTATTCATTTCCACTGAGTCATAGGAAATTTACTGATAACAACTCGGATTGTAGTATTGAGTGACAACAGGTTATTTTTAATTTTAAGCGTGGAACTTGGGCACTGTGATAGAATGCAATTTCATATAGGTTTATTTTCCTGAAGGGAAATCAGTTCTTTCAATTTCGTAGATACGCCCTGCTGATAGGTGTCAACATGAATGGAACTTAGTTGCAGCTGCTATGTAAGATGCATCAACGATGGCTTGTCGATTAGTCTAGTGACCACCACACAACAAACTTGAATTGTAGAATTCAGATACAACTAGGAACTAGACAACATAATAGGGGTAAACTCCTTAACGTTATATATGTATACGTATATATGGCTAGATTGCTTTAGTGGTAATAAATATGAGGATAAAGAGTGTAGGGTGTCTTATTTCGAAACAGCTTTTCATAAATTCAAGCATAAGATATAAATCTCTGAGTATCTACTGGTGTTTCAACTGGACACTGACTGATGTCATGCGACTAGCCCTTTGCTTAGTGCAGACTGAATTCTATCAGTCAAGTTTGTAATGTGGCCATCATGCTAAGTGACTCCCCATCACGGTGCACTCAAAATTATTCCTACATGGCTGGGAGACAATCGGCAGGAAGTTCAGTGGCTGACCCGGGTTTGGATCACAGAAGGAACACAAGTTCCTTCAAGATTGCTGACGAGTGCCAACAAGCACGACACCTAGGTCCAAAACCTCCTGAAGATTGCATCCAACTATCTAATGACATACACTGGCGCGTTATTTCAGGTCACCAAAAAAGCTCTTTCATAAAGTTCCATCAGTTAGGAGGGTAGGTACAGACGAATTGTAAAATAAGAAAGTAAGTCATGTATGAAATACAGAAAGCCTTCGAGACTACCTTCTTTTATAAATCCTTAGACCATGTTTTAACTCAACTGTACGGAAAAATAAAAGATTCATTACATGACAGACATTACTGTTTAAATTGATTTCGCTTATTCAAGATAAACGTACACCTTATTGCCTTCCATATACATTCCAAAAACACAGTTTAACATCAAATCCAAAAGTTAAATCAGTCTGGAAATCAAGGGATACACAACAGTTTTTTTTCTCTCAAACATATACCTTGCAGATTGGTGTTTTTTCATCATAAATATTTGAAGCTGAGAGATGAGACCACTGTACATCATTGGGTAGATAACCAGTACGCCGAAATACCTCCTCTTCTTCCTTTGTGTAATGCAAAAATTTGCAATTCAATCGACGACAGGTTGAATTTTGAAAGTCATGACAAAATGTCTTGTCGAAACGACTGTAAAATGAAAAAAACTTGACTCATAATTATTCACCAAATAATCAAAAGATTGTAAGTATCGAGCGAATATATATATATATATATATATATATATATATATATATATGTATATATGTATATGACCTGTAGAACGGCACAATTTATAGTGAGATCAAACTGTGACCCAATAAACACAATCAATAGTTAACTTGAATAAATGCATGAAGTTTCTCAATAATTAACTGACAAGACCTTCCAAGCTAGTGTTACATTGCAGTACTGTTCTAGACAATGAATGCGAATGAAAATGCGGATCATAATCATTTCAAAATATTGCACGTTATTTAGTGGATTATCTTACGGATAATTATAGATAAAATCTGCGTAAAGGTGTGTACTACCTTACTTTACGACTGCGAAATACAGCTATCAAAAGTAAAAAACCTTCGAAGTATCGAAGTTCTGAATTTGAAAGTAAAGATTTCTGTGCAATTTCTTTTGTTTTGAAAACTACTAGCTGCTAAGGATTAACATAGGGTAAGCAGCATGTACCAATGGTAACTAATATTAGTCTAACCAGCTTGCATCAAACCTGTCTCGTGTGGTAAGACCTAGAGGAACATTGAATGCAACTGAAAACGCCCACTGTCTAAGCAATCAGTGATATGCATACCCGGTTACCGTAACAAGGTGAAATCTATAAAGCAGTCAGGCAAGTGACTCTATGACGTTATAAACCCCTATTGTTGGATTTGCTCTGTGCACTCAGTCGAAGCAACTTCACAAACTTATCGACTTTCCCTCCTTACCTAACACTGCACGTCAATATTATCCACTATATCATACCACTTAACACGGGAAATATAACCCAGACACCTGTGGTCAAAGGCAGCTAGTCTCCACTTTAAGTGATCATGTCTCAAACATAAAGAAGGATAAAGCAAACAATTCCTTTAATCAATAGACGGTTACCACGTCTACGTCACAGATGATGTAGGTTAGCAAGTGCCACACGAGCCTTCTGTATTCGTCAGTTGATAGTTGATTAACGCAGATGCAACTTCTAAAATAAATGAAGTCCCTCTAATCTTATCCTCAAGCATACAGTGATTTACTACCTCTGTAAACTAAGTTACATAGGACGTACGATTAGATAGGTTCGTCTTGAGATTTAGACACCTGTCTATCTGCTTTATAAAAGGTGAAAGTTTATAAAAATCTTTGCCTTAGCACACATCAGACAAGAAGCATCATCTAGGCGCTAAAAAAACTTTAGTGTGACATACCTAAGACAATCCCATGGTCTAAACATATATAAAGCTTAGGCAATAGGATCAACCAGACTGGGGTTCAATACTCCGAAAATCAGAACTAGAATTTATCGACGTTTATCTCCACGTTTTCCCTACATTAAGCACTGTTCTTACACTCACGTCCTCCTTCCTATTTTTTGCACTTTTGCTAACAGTCAAACAGGTGCCCTTCATTCCGCAAAATTCTAGATGCTGGTGAATTTCTGCACACATACTGACGCTACCAAACTGTTCTTAATTATCAAAAGTATTATCTCCCTTAATGACTCCACTTTATTCATCTCGCATACTAATTACTTCATAATGAACTCAATTCACTCTGAGTACCTTTGATCAATGTACGCTACCTTTGCGCTCCCCAAACACTTGAACTAAGTCATCGTTTTCGTTTCTTCATAAGGAATAGATTGAATAAGAATAATTATCATCAACCAGTTTAAACCACTCTACAGTTGCATTCAGCTAACTAAGCTGATCATGAAAACTCAGTTCTCCTAGTTGCAACTTCAGACTAAACTGATTTTAGACCCGGAGTTGTATTCTACCGCTAAAACTAAAAATGTAGCTAACTGAAACAGCTTTCAGCAATTGTGTCTAGGTTTCTAGTTCCGCTCCACCTACTTCAAATAGGGAAGCTGGATATTGCCATAAGATCAAAGCCTGCTACACGAGCAGTGAATCGGGGACTTAACTAATGTACTTCTTGAATACTGGCTTTCATTAAAATAACGACGTATTTTCGTAACTGGAAGCCGATGGAAGAGGTTTCATTTCCGTGCTTCACCTTATTAGATAGGGTAAACAGTCTGTTTTTCTGTGGGACTTCCATATGCTTGTGCTTTTCAACTATTTCGCATAAGACTCACTTAACAGAAACGGCAATAATAATGGTCACACCATTCAACTGACCGCTACATACTTGTCGGAGCAGTAAAGAATAGGTCCCATTGTAAAAAATAAAGCAAACTTTAGATACCAAATTTTGTTTTTTTTCTAGAAACCAGCTAATATGAAATACGATTAGTTTGAAAGCTATAAAAAGCATTATTATGTTATTGAACAGGAACTGTGTTTTAGAATACCTACCGAAGCCTCTCGCATTCTTCAGATGACGGATGCTTATACTTGCACTTTTTGCCACGTTTACAAACATTTCGCAGATAGTCACGACAAACAGATGGGTCTTCACACATTCCAGAATAGCCAAGACGAGGATCAGTAACAAAAAACATTGCAGTCAGGTTACAGCTAACGTAGCTGACGTAATTTATTGATTGAGAGTATTTGTAAAAAAATGTTTCTCAAAGCCCCAGGGAATATGAGTAATAACTACAGTTTAAACAGCAAATAAAGGCTACAATCCATAATCTGTCCGAAAAATCCGGAAAAGCCGCCTTTTGTTGGACAATAAATACTATATTTAAGAGACCGCCTCTGCTTACGTCCAATGCCAACTACAATTTTTATTTTATATACATATGCAGGACATAAAAAGCAGTCGGTTCTAGGTCTTCGAACTGTATGTGCCAAGGCTCCTGATTGCTGTGAAACTATAAGATCAAGAATTTGTGAAGAAATATTTCCACTATTCTGAACTTACTTAAACGTAACTAAGTGTCTCTGTGGATAATTTATCCACTGATATCAGACTTTTACTGAAAAAGGTTTAGCTTATGCACAGTAAATACCCTGTAACATCTGGTCTTTCCACATTGTGTGCCTTATCTTTTTTGTTGCTCCCGAGGTGCGGTTGCCTAATAATCTCAGCAATACCAGATGAAGAACACACTGAGTCAAAAATCACCGATACCCATTTGAAGAGCTTGAATTAAACTAAAGATCGTTTGAAATTCAAGCGCTTACGTATAACACACACTCACTCATTCCCTGTATAAGGCTTCCGGTCAGTTCAGACCTGACTTCGTTTTTCTCCAGCCCTTTTACCTCTTCAGAACTTCAGTTTGCTCACATTTTCCTATTTCCTGCATCAACTTTGATGTTTCCTTATATGCAATTCAATGACTTAATAATAATAATAATGTATATTCTCATATAAACATATAAATTTACATGAAAATGCATGCCATTTTTACAGGCACGATCAAGTATGATATAATATCAAATCGTAGATTGTCTACAAGTTAATAATGTTTCAACAGTTAAATATTTGATATATATATAAATACACATTGTCTGAACTAGGCTGTATAGTTATTGAATTGTACAGTTGTCCTCCAGGTTGAGCGGGAAAATCGACTTCGTTTCGTTTTCATCCCGTGGTTGTCGGCATACGATAACCAACCAATATTGAGGTAAGTACAACGTTTACAAGGGATTGAAAGCTGTTTTAGAAAAGTAAAAGTGCTGAGGTGAATCATTAAATTGTAATGAAATAGGTAAGTGCAAGTATCATTAATAAATGCATTAAAAAAGAAAACTCCCTAGGCTGACAACGTTCATTTGCAATGTATAATGCTACACGTATACCTCGTACTATCATGATGTCCACTTTTGGTTTTAATACATTTATCCTCAGTTGTGCCAGTTGTTTTTGTTTTATACCTTTTTGTGCATTTAATGTACAACCGTACCCTTCAGAGAGTAGGAATATAATAAGTCATAAAGAGCTGTAAAATGTTAGGTTTAATGGGATATAATGAGGATCAAGTAAAGACGTTATTGGAAAATGAATGAGATAAGACATTGTGAAGTGGTATTTAAAGATCAGTCAATGGACAGCAAGTTAGTTTATAAGATGCCCCATAAAACTGTGCACATCCCACATGGTCGCATCTCAACAATAGGCTGGGCGAATAGTATATATTTAGAGGTAGAAGCATGATCTGTCAAGGCGTTCATTATTATCTTTTTCAAGATAAAGATCTAAGCCCTCATAAAAATCAGAAATATCTCGAGCCTTTAATTTGTGTATTGCTGTTCCTGCAGAATGGGGCGATTCACCTTAGTGACCCCCACCATATCTACTGATCAGCTAACGCCACCCTCCCTCCTTTTTTGATGTTAAGCTCTGAGACTATGATTATTATGGCTACCGCAAATATATTGCTTGGTACCAGACATGTTCGTACCTCATATTCCATCTCCCTAGCTTTCTTAATGAGTGCTTCCAATAGGTCTCCGCGTACATCTTTATGAACATTATATATGTATGCATGCGTCCTAATGAACAGATTACTTTACAAGAAGTTAGAACCTTAAAGAATAAAAAGAATAGGTTTTGTGAATAGTGAAGCAAGATTCAGCAGAACAATATAGTTAGGGATCAATGTAGGTAGTATGAACTGAAGGTAAGGTCGGTTGGCAGGACTTAGTGTACTAAATTATCATGACAGTCTTGTATATAGTAGACATCTGACATTGCAAAGTAACGTGTCTAAACATATTATAAAAAGATATTAACAGAACCAACAAAATTTCAGCATTTGTTTAACAATACTACAGAAGGGTAGTTAGTACTACAGGTAGTCGTAAAGTAAATCAATCTATGTATAATAAGAGCATAGTCAGTGTCATAATTCGTATTATCAAAGAATACATTAGGCTCAATAACTGAGTGTTATAAGGGAAACAAGCATGGTAAAGCAAGAGAACACTTGCCGCATAGCTATTTTAATCATTTTAAGTATTTTAATGACAATCGAATTTCAAGTATTGAACCTACATAATTACTAAGTGTTATTATATTGGTATTGGGACTAGTGTACTTTCCGTAGTTAAATATTGAAAAGCCATTGTCTCTCCACTCTACCAGCAGTTGAGATCTTTGAGGCGGGCTAGGGTGGACATGTTTATATGTTTTTCTAGGCTCCTTTTGAAACTGTCAGGCCTTTCACAGGATCTTATCTCAGAGGGTAGTTGGTTCCAAAGTTTGCAATATTTAATGGTGAAGAAGTTAGCTCTAGTGGTGAGTTTATGGGTGTTAACCTTGAGAAGGTAGTTGTGGTTGCGTAGTCCATACGAAATACTTACAGCTCTCAAGTACAGATTAGAACTTACAATCCACTTAACTAAATATTTGTTTGTTAACGAAACGATATCGAAAGATACTCAACTGCAAATTATGAGTGGCACCTCGCCTGATCAGGTGGCAGACCATGAACAACTTTCCATCCTGATACGATGACATTTTGGAGACAATTAGGTGGGAAAACAGAAAGTAACTTCTTCCACATTGGTTTGTTTACTAGATGTATCACACAGTGAAGCAGTATTATTTACTGGATGACGTTTCGAACAAAATTCATTGTTCATAATCATATCAGTTATGATCACACGAATCTGAAGTTTTAATGTAATCGAAGTGTGTCGTATGTCAACCACAGATCAAGAAGTAAGAAAACCAATACACCGTCAAAACCGTGTTTGTTTGCGTCATGTTTAACCCGTTCGGCTTTTGCTAGTATTGGAAATGACTCACCACTTATTCATGCCAATTAGATCAGCTGATAGATCGCTTAAAGAGAACACATTCTCCTGAATGGGGTTTTCCACAGGTGCTTAAGGCCTGCATTAATGAGCAATTTAACAGAACATGACTGAACGCGGTATGTATTTTTAGAGCGAACAAACCTTTTAGGGGTCAGTTTAAAAAGCAACACCTGACACAGAGTCTGGAGATTATGAATTGGACATATGGAGACTGAGATACTCAAAACGTTACTAGGCATGCGGTGAACAGAGCGGTAACATCATTTCTATCCATTTCTCTCAACCTGACAGGAAAAAGTAACTTCCTGAAAAATATTTGATTGCATCTATGTAAATGCTCATATAAATTAATGTACCCATAGTCATTGCTACTGCCGGTATAAAAACAGTTACAGTGACTCCAAGATCACAATCAGTCTAGAATATCCAAAAGAAATCAGCGAAACATCACGGGAACAGTATCAGTTCTCATCAGGTGGTTCATAGGTCTATTTTACAAACCTAGGTTTCACAAAGTCAGCTTGTAGCCAACAAATAAAAAGCCGATTAGTACGGGGTCTACCCAAAACGTTACTGTTTCTGTTCGCATGATAGGTTTATGCAAACAGGTTCTGAAGTACTTGTTTACCAGTTTTCTGGGCACTGAGAATGAAACCAGAAGAACTTCAGAGCGATGGAGTTTCGAGACCCTGTCAAAACCTATGGGATCATCGACTGTCCTTACATTTAGTCGAAGATGAATTACTTGTTTATTTCTACCGCATGAGGCCAAAGTCGAGTAGCATTCGTGTGCTGTATATAATTTACGTCCTGCTTTGTCATTAGCTCACTGGAGACGAAAAGTTTGTAAACTTAAATGATATTCGGATATCCACTGTTCAACGGCTGATTCACCTCTGGGGATTCTGGGATTCAATGAGAAATACCGCGTATTCTAAGTGTTTGAAGAGATGAGAGTATGGTGGTTGCTACATGTCCAGTTAGTATGTCTTTAAAACATCCTAGCATTCCCTATACCTGAAAATATTCTTCATTAGACATGCGTCCCTCTCCTTTGGCTGAGTAATGTTAATGCGTCATAGCGGTAAAAATGCGATGTTGGAGAGATGGTGTGATAGTCTCTAAGAAAATTGAGAAATACTTCCTTTACGCCGCTGAATAGTAGTTTATTATCACTTCGTATCCCTGCATAACTAAATTTACGGTCAATGTATGCATAATCAACAGGCCGGAAAGAAGGCTTTTACTAAACCACCATGACTAGCTGTTAATCGCGACAGATAGATAGACAGTTTGACGGACAGCTAATCGATACTATGTGACCCTTTGTCGCGATTATTGGCTAATTTAATGTAACTCTCACCACGTGATGTGACCCTGAATGTTCTTTATTTCCTGTCACTCTATTGTGTGTGTGTGTATGTAATTAATTAACTGTTCATTTTGTCTGTTCCTTCAATACTGTTCGATATGTTTTTGTCTTTTCTTGTGTGACAATGGATTTGTGCTTTTCTTGGTGTAATTGTATGCTTTGTTTTATGTTTTAGAAACAGATAAAGTTTAAGTTAAGTCTTTCTGTTTTTAACTGTAGTTAAGCCAAGACTCTGTATCGTCGGTTTTGAGGAAGGACTAAATCTGTAGGCAAAACTAATCCTACACTGGCTTTTCCTCAGATAGCAAAAATAATCCAAGTTGGTGTAATGCCCCACAGTCCTCAGTTTCCGGATTAAATACATTTTGGAGCTGACACACGGGATACAGGCTTGAATCACGTCATTCTAACAACTCAGCAACCGGAGCCTACTTAGGTCGCCAATGTTGGACATGGGAGGATCAACGAAACTTAGAGAGAGATAACACTGACTAGGGCGACTGAAGACAAATTACAGGGCCTCCACAACACAGTATGCACTAGCTACTATATGAGGAGGTAACAAAGACAGAACGAGCAGTCGGGTTGTAACTAT